GCCCAGCAGCCCACAGAAGGGTCAGGGCAAGGCTGGGCACTGGTGCCCTGTGCTATTTGTGTAGGTTGTATGGAGAAAATGGAAAATGAGGCTAAAAGCCCCAAAGGTGCAGGGCTGGATGGGCTGAGGCTGTGGTGGAACAGCTCCCACAGGCCTGGAGGAAGTGATGGGGCCCAGGAAGAGGAAGCTGAAAGCAATGCAAAATCTAGAACTGCCCGTGTTTCGTTTTCAAGGTGACTGTGGAAAAAAAAAAAAGATGATGAAAAAGCCCCTCCCAAAAGTTTTCACAAAGATGGCATGAGTTGCCCCCACTCCAGAGCCATCACTCTCAGCAGAGCTCTTGTAGATCAACTCTTTGCTGTCTGCAGTGTTGAGGAGCCCCAAACAGTTCTCGGTGTCGCCAAAAGGGCAGGGGAGCTCCCTGCAAGGCCAGGGAGCAAAGAGAACAGAAACTAAACCAGCAGGGATGTGTCTTATCTTTCCTTAAGCAAAAGCCAGGTAGTCAGCTCAGGGAGAGGATGTAGGACCGAGGAAGACTGACAGTTTTAGGCCTTCTGCAGGTGCCTCAGGACCGTGGCAGTTCTGTGCCACTCCCCACTCACAGCAATCCTGGGCCAAATTGAGTACAGCTGATTGCAATTAGAAGCAGGGAAAGCAGGAAGGAAGGCACAATCTAGCAACAACCTTCCTTCTCCTTTTCCCCTCCCTAATTTATTGTCATCTCTCACAGGGAAGGTTTTTAAAGGTTCTTGCTCATTTTTGTAGAGCAGCAGTAACCAACTAGCAAAGGGCTTTTCATCAGGGAGGCTGATCTGAGCTCAGATCAGGTGGTCCAGGGTTTTAAATGCTGCTGTAAAATGGCCCTTGAGCCAAAGCCACCTGCCCTGCATGGTGGGAACCACGACAAACCACAGATTGTAACTGCACTATGACACTCCATAGTGAGAAATAGTGAGAAATACCAGCTAGCATCTCAACCCCTTCGTTTGTCCCGTTTTACCCCGTGAAAACATCCACTACAGCACAAATATGGGGCTACCACACAGCACAGTCGTGCTGGTAGATTTGGAAATGTGGCTCTTTAGAGGCTCAGACACAAGAGAGCAGCAACAATGACAGGACAACAACCTGAGAAGCAAATGCCCAGCGTTATCCACGCAAACACGCTGGGTCAGGAAGGAGTTCTCTGCTCACCAAACCCCCCTTTTTTTTTGGGTAGCCATTCCTGGCTTTCCACTCTCAAAGCACACTCAAGCTTTCTTACCTTTGAAGGCTCCTGCTGGCAAACTTGCTGCTCTTTGCAAGAGCTTTGGAC